GGGGGGAATCCACGGAGCAACAGTAACAGTAATACCAGGTGGCTGATTAACCCCGCGCACTTCTGTGCGCAACGAGCAGAGTAGAGAACGTCTGACGTTCTGTGACTTACAGAGTGTGACGTAAGAGCATCACTCGGGCGAGGGGCAGGCAATTCGCAAGGCTCAAGCGTGACATACTAGGTGGCTGATTATCTCCGCGCATTTCTGTAGTTCGACTGTACCGCATGCAGGATTGTGGGCAGGCTTGTTTATCGCACCTGTCCTTGGCACCTTACGGGCCGGGCGAGAAGGCAACCCGCGTGCACTCGTGCGTGCGGTGCAGTCTAAGTACAGATGTGCGCGGGGTTAATCAGCCACGTGGTAGGTAGGTGAAGTATCAGGCCCGTAAGAGAGGGCGCATCCGTCCGAGGAGCTGCAGTGTCTTGGAAATAAAACCATAAAAAATTCCTAATCCTTTATCTTTTAATGTTTTAGGTCGAGCAACACCTGAAGGCCCTGAAGACGACGTCCGCGGACAACGGCAGGCGCCAGCAGAAGCACGAAGACGACCAGGAGGTGCTGCGCCATAGCGGAAGGGGAAGGGGGGTTGGTGTGGGGGAAGGGGTTAGAAGTGTCGTTGTGTATGTGACCTGTTGGTATTAAAACTAAAGTATTCTTGATTTCACTTCTTGTTATTGAACAAAACCAGCATCAGTGAGCGATTGGGAGGTAAGAGAGGCACAGAGCGGAAGTTGACATGCAAAGTCGCAATTTATCACCAAAAACAATAATATTTTGAGACAGTCGGAGAGCTAAAACTGATTGAAAAAAAAGTAGCACACGGTGGAGCACACGAGGGAGGTGGCGAAAAAGAGGGGTCGGAGGAAGGGGGGACGGAGACGACACCCCTGTAAAAAATAATCTGGGCGGATCCGGGCGAAAACGGGCGAACGCGTGCCCCGTGCGGGCACAGCCCGTGCACAGGCCGGGCTCGGGCCGGGCACTCCGCGTGCGAATCCGGGCAGATCCGGGCGGGGTCGCTTGCGTGTCGCCTGGAGTCTGCCCAGGCGCGGGCGAAGCTGGGCGGTCTGCCTGCGCGACTGCGCGCGTGTTGCCCGCGGGTGCCCGTGTCCGGGCATCGGGACAACCGCTCAGTAGCATTCCTAAGTAGGCCCGGTCATCGAGGGGTCGTGATCTCTTTCTCAAGTTCGACATACGGGAAAATGATGCCCGTTCTACCAAAAAAAATGCAAAAATTGTAAGAAAATTCTCGGATAGACTTTAAGGGTCCCGACAGGGCCGTTTAGACTCAGCTTAGGCCGCCCGCAATACACGGCCACTTTTCGTCAGTTTCCACGCTTAAAATC